GCCCCGCAGCTCCCCTCCCCCTCACTCCTGACCCGCAGCCCCCCTTCCTTCTGTCACTTGTGCCCCCTTACTCCCCCCGCAGCCCCCCTTCTGTCACTGCTGCCCCACAGCCCCCCTCCCCCTCACTCCCCACCCACAGCCCCTCACTCCTGCCCCGCAGCCCCCCTCCCCCTGCACCCCTCACTTCCTCCCCTCCTCCCTCCACCGCTCACTGCCGCCCCGCAGCCCCTCTCCCAGCTCTGCCGGTGCCCCTCACTCCCCCCTCACCTTGTACGCCCGAGGCATATGGGGCAGGAAGACCCCCCCCGCTGCACTGGATAATGTCCTTCATGTGCTCGGGCTCCGGCTTGACGTTGGGGGTGACGTGGATCTCGTAGCCCTGGGGGAGGGGGATGAGGCTGTGACTGACCCACCCCCGGCTCCCATGAGGGAAGGGACAGAGCCTGTGGAAGGGGCGGCAGCTAAGCCCAGGGACCATGTGTCCACAGCTGAGACCTCGAGGGTGAGGAGCTCGTGACAGGGCCAGCTGCAGGCGGCATCCTGCCCAGATGGGTCCACCCGGGGGCTATGGGCACGAGTGTGGGGGGAGGATCAGTCTGGATGCACCTGTAGCTGCCCCGTCCCTCACCCCCCAGTGTGGTGGATGGTGGGGAGGGGATTGGTGGGGGGGTGAGTTGGTTCAGAGGGTCTCACCTGCGACGGGCCAGTGGGGGGGTGGATGCTGGGGGGAGCCAGTGGGGTTTAACCTGCAGCCGGGCCCCCTGGCGTGGTGGGCAGTGTGGGGGAGCAGGGGTCTCGACAGTAGGGTGCAGGGAGGTGTCAATGGGGTCAGAGAGGTGGACAGGGGTCTCACCTGCAGCAGCTCCCCCCCCCAGGGGGGGGGGGGGGGGGTCAGGGGGGGGGGGGGGGGGGGGGGGGGTCTCACCTGCAGCAGGGCCCCCCTGCGCGCTCGCTGCAGCGACTGGGCCAGGCTGAAGTGGAAGTTTCGCTCCTGCTCCGCGTCCCGCACCAGGAAACCGCTGGGCGACAGGAAGCAGGCGCTGCGCCCGCTCTGGGGAAGGGGAAGGGGGGGGCAGCGTCACCTGGGGCAGCTCCCCAATGTCGCTTCCTCCCCCCATCGCCCCCTCCACCCTGCCCCCCACACACACCCTGCCCCTTCCCCCCGGCGGTACCTTGTCCAGCCAGTCCAGCGTGACGATGGGCACCCCGCGGGCCAGGGCACACAGGAACTTCACCGTGCGGCGCACCCGGTCCGTCACCAGGTGGGTGCAGTCGAAGACGGACCGGGCCAGCGCCCCGCCCAGCGCCGAGACCACCCGCTCACCCGCCTCGTCAATCACCCCCGTGAACAGCACCTGGGGGAGGGCAGCACAGTCAGCACGGACCAGCCCATCCGAACCAGGGTGGCTTGGTATGTCCCCTCCCCACCACTGGAGGGGGAGCAGGGCTGTTTGGTACGGTCCCCTCATACACACACACCCCTGGGCAAGGTAACTTGGTACGACCCTTCCCACCCCAACCCCCGGGGGGTTGGGGTGGGAGGGCTGTTTGGTACAGGTTCCTCATCCCCTCCCCACAGCAAGGCACCATGGTAAATTCCTCTCTTCCTTATGGCTTGGTACATTCCCATTAGGACTGTTAAAGTTTGGGGTACAGCCGCCCCCCACACCCTAACTTGGTACAGCCTGACCACCCACTTCCACACCAGAGCAGTACAGCTGGAGCCTGTATTCCAGCCCCTGCTTTGCACCGTATTCAGCAGCCGTGCGAGGACCTGACGGGCCGTGTCCTGCCCCACCTCGGCCCCAGCAGTTAGCACAGGGCAGGAGGCCTCTGGACTCTGAACAAACGGCCCAACGAGTGTTGGGGGGAGCTAAAAATAAAGCGTTGAGGGGAATTGCTGGCCACAGCAACAACCGACCACCAGGGTGTCATGGCAGCGAATTGACACACACAACAGGTACCCGAGCTACAGCCGCAGACAGCGCATCACAAGAGCACCATGGCCACAAATTAACCTCCTCAGGGGTTCTCACGACACATTTTTGGTGGCCTGAGAGCGCGGCCACCAACCCTTGCTGGTGGCCACTCTGCCCATTTTTCCTAAAACGCTTAATTAACATTAGAAAAAACAAACAAATATGCACCAAACGTCCCGATCCCGGTCATTGATTCATGTAGGATTTTCTCCTGACTCAATAATAAAAATAACGCACAGTCGCCTCTATTCTTTACTGGACCGACACAGAATAGAAACCCAAATAAGGTGCTGTGCACGTTCTTGTCTTTTTTTGGAGGGGGGGGGGGGTGTTTTTGGTTTGTTAGCTAGTGGTCTCCTGCTGTGAGAAGTGACACTTGTTACTATCACTTTGCACAATCTCCCAGCGAGCTGCTAAGTCTGCAGCTAACGAACTGACGAATATCACTTTTCCCAGCAGATTTATTGTGACAAATTAAGCCCTGGAGGCCATGGGAGGGGGGTGGGGAGCTGGGGGGGACGGAGCCCGAAGCCCCAGGGCTGAAGTCTGACCCCACCGCCTCTGAGAAGGTGGAGAACTCTGTGTGTCTCCCCAGAGGGGGGCAGATTATATATAATCTATAGATGGCTCTACACAGTCCCTGTCGTCCCCCCCACGCTCCCTTCTCCGAGCCAGGATAGAACCCAGAGCTGGGAGATACCCGGGGCGGGGTGGGAGTTGGCACCCCCTAGAGGGGAAGGGCCCTTGTGTCCCACCCTCCCCACCCCCCGGTCCTGGGCTTTCTTACCCTGGGGGAGGCCGTACCGCCGGCTGCCCCCTGGGATCGGCGAGGGGCCCTGGCCCGCAGCCCCTCCACCTTGTTCTCCGTGCTCTGGCGGCGCAATGGGGGGACCGGCGCCTCCTGCAGGGGGAATGGGGTGAGTGAGACTCACTTATAGCCCCCCCATCCTGCCCACCACACCCACCCCAAGGAGATCTCCCCACCAACCCCTTGACAGACCCCACCCCCAGCCACTTAGATCACACCCCCATAGTCCCACCCCCCAGCAGGAGAGGCCCTGCCCCTCGAGTCCACCCCAGCAATGGATTTCCCCCTCCCTATCAGGCTTCGCCCCCAGAAAATTACACCCCGGCCATTTTGCAAACAACCCCAGCCAATCTGTACTCCCTGTCCCCTGGTACCAGACCCCACCCATAGCATATGAGGCCCCGCCTCCCAGTGGCCAGGCCCCATCCATAGCAAGTGAGGGGTGGGACCTGACCCTTGGGTGGGGACTTTCTCCCAGCCCTGCCAGTCCTGCCCAGTGGCCTGTTACACACCTGCCTCTTTCTGGCGTCGCTCCCAGCATCCTCTTGGGCCGCAGCACCGCCCACTTGTCCCTTGCCTCGTGCCGGAGGCGGATCCGGGGTGGCCACCCCTCTCCGCTTGCCTCGGGCCTCCCTGGCTGGCTCTGCAGCCCCCCTCCTCCTGGAGGCCGGCTCTTGGGCAGGGGCTCTCTGGGACCGCCGGGCTCGGCCCTGCGACACCTCCGGCTCTGCTCCCCCCGAGCCCCTCATGGGCTCGTCGGCTGGGGCCGGTTCCGTGCCTGCAGCCCCCCGAGATCTCCGGGCCCGGCCTGGAGCCCCCTGGCTTGAGGTCTCTGGCTCCGTGGGGGGGTCCTGAGTCCGCACCGCCCTCCTGGGCCTCTTCACAGGGCCGGGCTGCTCCACCTCCTCGACACTCCCCGGCTCCGGCGCCTCCATGTACACGGCCGGGCTGCAGAGCTGGCGCCGCCCCCTACGCTGGGGGGCGGCCAGGGTGGGCTGGCTGGGCTCTCCGGACCCCACGGCCTTCTCTGCCCCACCCCGCTGGCTCCGCCTCTCCAGGGCAGGGGCTGGTGGTGGGGGAGCAGGAACCGAAGCAGATCGCAGGCTTCGGCGCCTCACGGGGGTGGAGGGACTGTGATGAGCCTCTGGGACCTGGGGGGGGGGGGGGAGAAGAGAGAAAGAGATTGGGGGGCTGGGATCCAGGATTCCTGGGTTCTGTCCCCGGCTCTGAAGAGTGGGCGCCAGCCCCTGCTCACCTTCCCAGCATCCTCAGGCCGTGCCCCCGCGGGGTGGGGCCCAGCCCCCGTGACCCCGACAACCGCTGGGGTCGCCCGTCTCTCCGCAGCCTCCGGGCCACCTGGAGAAGAGGATGAATTAATTCCAGCCAGCTACTGCAATTCCCTTCATTGCCACTAGATGTCGCTGCCTGCCAAGGCACATCATGTGACTGCCAGCAACACCCCCCTCCTTGCACAAGGTGTCACTTGCACACACACACACACTCACACAGAGTGTCACACACAGAGCACCACCGCTCCAGGTGTGTCACGCACACATCCACACACAGAGAGCACTGGACATGTCGCACACACACAGCACCGGGCATGTCGCCCCACGCGTGTCACACACTCACTCTCCCCACACCTCCATCACTCACCCTGCCCTCTCAGGCGGTGCCCAGAGCTGCTGCCCCTGGGCTCCGTTCCTGCCCGCCCGCCCTCGCCCTGCAGCGCCAGGGCTGGCCTGCGGGGAGCGCTCAGCACTAGGCGCACGGGCTGGGATTCCTCCTCCTCCGGCGGCTCCCTCCCGGCGCCCCCTGCTGGCAGTGCCCCGCCAGGGGGCTCTGACTCCTCCTTGGGGCTGAGGGGAGCAACTGCCGGGTCCTGGGTGCCAAGCAGCAGCCCCCCAGAGGCTGGGCCGGGTACTGCAGGCTGAGACAGGGCTCCCCCTGGTGGCGGGGGGCGGGGCAGCAGCTGGGTGTCCTCCTCAGGGATGAAGGGCTGGGTGGGCTGGTCCGAGTGGAGCCCGGGGTCCTCGCAGAACGACTGAGTCGCCTCCACAACATACAGATCCTCGTCCGAGTCCTCCTCCTTCTCTGAAGAGGTGCAGACTGAGGGCGGGGAGGAGAGAGGGGAAGAAGATGAGGATAGAACCCAGGAGTCCTGGCTCCCAGCCCCCCCCGCTCTAACCACTAGACCCCACTCCCCTCCCAGAGCCAGGGAGAGAACCCAGGAGTTCGGTCTCCCAGCCCCCTGCTCTAATCACTCCAGTCAGCACTGGGTGGCTCGGCCCAGTTTGGCATAGAGGTGGGGAGACCAGTCAGGGCGGCAGCTCTCACGCTTCCCAGAATCCTTAGCAACCCCTCCTCCACCACCCCACCGTGAAATCCAAGATGGCGGCTCTAGACAGGTCTCCTCTCTGCCCCCCCCCCCAGCCCTCGTTCCCTGAGCGCCGCAACCCCAGCGAGGGGCCCGTTGTGCTCACCTGGAGGGTGCAGGGCTGGGCCAGCAGGGGGCGACATCACGGACCCTGCGAAGGGATCAGAGTGACAGCAGGAATTGGTGGGGGAAGGGTGACTGCCTGAGGCCCCGCCCCCAAGGGTCACTGACTCCACCCCTGTCTGAGGCCCCACCCCCGGGGGGGTCACTAACTCTGCCCCTCTGGTGACCTATACATACATTGGTGAGTTCTCAGCCCAGCAGGGCCATGGAGACTGAGCTGCCTTGTCTGGCCACCAGAGGGAGCCACCCCCGGGAGGAGACACTGAGGGGGGCTGTGATCATGGGGGCTGGATTTCCCCCCAACTCACCTTTTGCAGGCAGGGGCGATCTGAAGACAAACGTCTGGGTGGCTTCCTCCTCTAGGCCGCTCCCCGAATCTGTGGAAAGAGGAATTACCCAGGATCCTTCACAGCTTCCCCACCACCAATCTCTTCGCTCACGGCCACACAACCCCACAGATCGCCTGCCCAGAGGGAGGGACTAACTCTAGGTCATGGAGGGAAACTGAGGCACAGAAAGGGGAAGGGACATGCCAGAGGTCACACAGCAAAATGGAGCTAGATACAGAACCCAGGAGTCCTGGCTCCCCCCTCCAGCTCTAACCACTAGACCCCACTCCCCCCCCAGAGCCAGAGATGGAACCCAGGAGTCCCACCTGCTGCCGCGGGGGTTCTGGCGGCCTCGGCCCCCGAGGACGGGGTCTCCTCAACCAGGTAGCACTGCGTGGCCTGCAGGGCAAAATCAGCGTCATCTGGGAAGGGGAAGGAGAGCGGAGACTCCAGGTGAAACCGACGCGCCTGATCCCATCCCAGCATGCAGGGCAGGGCGCTCACCCGTAGGGATCCGGACACTGGGGCAGGGAATGGGACCCAGGCATCCGGGATGGCAGTGCAGGGCGCTCACCCCTAGGAAGCCGGACACCGGGGCAGGGAACGGGACCCAGGCATCCGGGATGGCAGCGCAGCACCCTCACCCCTAGGGAGCCGGACACCGGGGCAGGGAACGGGACCCAGGCGTCTGGGATGGCAGCGCAGCGCCCTCACCCCTAGGGAGCCGGACACCGGGGCAGGGAATGGGACCCAGGCGTCCGGGACGGCAGCGCAGGGCCTGTCTCCCCCAGATTTACCCTCCACATCCGTCTCGCTGTCGTCTCCAGGCTGGGCTGGGCCCCACGCTGGCTCCTTGTTTCCCTCCGTGTCCATCAACTTGGTCTCTGGGCTGATATGGGACTGGGGAGCAGGTGGCTCCTCCCCACCCGCCTGGGCTGGGCCCCCCACAGGACCTGGCGCCTGGTTGAACTCTACCCTGGGAGCCCCCTCCACATCTGTGTCGCTGTCTCCACTGGCTGTAGGCAAGTGGAGCGTCTGTTGGCCAACATCTGGATTCTCCTCCACATCTGTATCGCTGTCCCCAGTGGCAACAGGCAGAGGGTCGTTTTGTCGTCCAGCATCTGATTTCTCCTCAGCCTCCTCCACATCTGTATCATCACCTGCCTCCACGGTGGGCTGATGGCTCCTTTGTACAACATCTGGATTCCCCATGGAGTCCTCCACATCTGTATCGCTGTCCTCATTTTCTGCAGGCCGATGGCCCTTAGGATGCACATCTGGTTTCCCCATTGTCCCCGTCACATCTGTATCTCTGTCTCCAGGGAGAGCATGTTGATGCTTCGTTACAACATCTGGATTCTTTGCCTCCTCTTCCTCCATATCTGTATCACTGCCCACATCAATAGCGGGTGGATGGCTCTTTGTAGCCACATCTGGATTCCCAGTCTCCTCCACATCTGTATCACTGCCCACATCAACAGCAAGGGGATGGCTCTTTGCAGTGACAACATCTGGATTTCTATCAGATTCCTCCACATCTGTATCACTGTCTCCAGGGGCAGCAAGCTCATTGTTCGTTTGTCGCACATCTGGTTTTCCCACCACCGGCGCTACATCTGCATCTCCGCCCCCTGGGGAAACAAGTTGATGGTTGTTCTGTACAACCACTGGAGTCTCTGCTTTCTCCTCCTCCACATCTGTATCACTGCCCACCTCAATGGCGGGCTGATGGCTCTTCTGTACAACATCTGGATTCTCTGCAACCTCCTCCACATCTGTATCGCTCTCCCCATTTTTGGCAGAGTGATGGCTCTCAAGATGCACATCATCTGGATTCTCCACTCCCCCCTCCACATCTGTCGCTCTGCCCCTAGGGAGAGTATGAAGATGGTTCTTCTGCACATCTGGATTATTTGCTGCCTCCTCCTCCACATCTGTATCGCTGTCCACCTCAACGCTGGGCTGATGGCTCTTTGGACCCACAACATCTGGATTCACACCAACCCCCTCCACATCTGTATCGCTGTCCCCAGGGGCAGCAGACTGGCTCTTCATTCCTTGCACTACATCTGGATTCTCCAGTGGTGCCTCCACATCTGTATC